TGTTCTGTAGTTTGCCTGTAGTTTAGATGTGGCCATGGGAGGAGGTGATCGCAGAGTTTACCTGCTCTGCCATCTTGACCAGAGGTCCTCCTTTAGTGTTTTTATCTGTGGATTTTATTTAAGAAATATTTCCCCCCTCCAAGGTAATGAAAAAATACTCCCTTATATTATCTTCTAAAAGCTTTATAATTTTGCCTTTTGACATTTAAGTCTTTTAGTTGGAATTTATTTTAATGTATGGAGTGAGGTAGGGATCCAATTTCATTGTTTGTTTGTTTGTTCTGTATGGGCCAATTTTCCCAGGATAATTGAAAAGTTTGTCCTTTCTTCTATTGCTCTGTAATGCCACCCCTGGCATATATCAAGCCCATATATGTATGTGGGTAACTGTTTTGAATTCTTTCTCCTCCTCTGGAAGCAACCCCATCAGCGCCCACTACACCTGGCATGTGAGGCGGTGCCCACAGGGAATGAGAGCCTGAGGAGCAGTAGCTGTAGCATCAACCACCCCATTTTCCGAGAGGGCAGTAAGGTCAGTGCTTACCCCCAAATCCTCATCACTCTTCTCACTGTCCTGACCCACTTCCTTCCCTCAGTCCCCCATAACCTTCCCTCTCCCCATTCCTTCTTTCTTCTCCATCAGGGCGCCTTCATAGTCACATTTGATGTTTTCTACAAGGCCACCCTGGGAGACACGTTGCTTCTGAGGGCCAATGTAAGCAGGTAAGCCAGACCAGGTATGGTGTGTCCTTCCCCGTTTCCTGTACCAGCCAGAGATTCCTCTCTTGGTTTCCTTCCCAACTGGGCTCCCCTTTCTCTCCAGTGAGAATAATAAGCCTGCAACCAACAAGACCAGCTTCCAGTTGGAGCTCCCAGTGAAATATGCCGTCTACACAGTGATCAGCAGGTGACTAATCCCTGGCCCTTCCCTTGGACCTCTGACCTTCCTCCAAGGCTAGTGCCTCCCCCTGCAGCCCAGCCTGCTCCTCTGGGGACGGGTATGTAAACTAGTCCCTCTGATTCCTCACATGTAAATATTTGTGACCCGCCATATGCTTACACCACAACACCACATGCAGACATATCTTCGTTGCACTTCACTTTCTTGCACTTCACAGATACTGTGGGGTGTTTTTACATATGGAAGGTTGTGGCAACCTCAGGTCAAGCAACTCTATCTGTGCCATTTTCCAACAGGTTTGGATGGTTAGCATTTTTTTTGCAAGGATTTTTTTAAATTAAAGTACGTTTATTGTTTAGACATAATGCTATTGCACACTTAATAGACTACAGTGTTCCTGGAAACATAACTTTGATAGGCACTGGGAAACCAAAAGACTTGAAGTACTCAATTGCAATATTTGCTTTATAGAGGTGGTCCGGTTCTGAACCCACAATATCTCTGAGGTGCACCTGTGCATAATTCTTGCTTCTTCTATGACAATTTGGCCTGCTGGGGGACGCACACCCCTGGCTGCTGCTGTGTGCCACCTCCTCTCTCTGAGATGCAGCCTCCCTTTAATGGATGGATGGATGGATGGATGGATGGACGCATGGATGGACAGATGGATGGATGGGTAGATGCAGCCAGTCCTGGCCTTTGTGCTAAACAGGAGCATGGCAACGCTAGGCTACTAGACTGAGACTGGGGCTCTTCTGAGACCCGGAGGCAGGATATGGTCTTTCCCCACACAGAGCAAAGGAAGGTCAGGTTTTCACAAAACGGAGAGGAGAGCGGAGGTGTGAGAAACCGTGGGGAAGGCCTCTAACAGTCCAAGGCCAAGGCAGGCCACAAGAAAGGCCAGTGCAGGGACGCTGCCCTGGGTGATGAGGGTGGAGGAGTAGGGGGCAGGCCAGGCGGGAAGCAGGGCAAGGACTCCACAACCTGGCTAAACTCCAGAGGCTTAGAGACTTGGTAGGAACTTGCAATGTTGCCGTTGAACAGTTTGCTGCTGATGTGTGAATTTTTAGGGGAATGAGGGATGGGGTCAAGCAATGTCATTGCCCATCCAAACTCTGCACGTTTTCCCCTTATGTCTATGGGAAAATACTAAAACTCACCATAAGAGCTTACAGTGATGTGCTTATGATGTGCCAGGCATTGAAGCACTTCACATGTATTTATGTTTATTTAATCTTTCTAGCAACTCTATGATATATTGTTACCCCCTTTTTACCAACAAAGAAATCAAGGGGTTAAATAACTTGCCCTGACATTCAGCTGGCAAGTGGCAGAACCAGGAGCGAAACCTAGATGGTCCAGAGCTTATGCCAGCGGCCAGACAACATCTTCTCTAAGGAGTGGGAAGGCCGAGTGACTGACTCAAATATGAAAAGAGAATTAAAATGAGAAGATTTAAGGTGGAAAACTGATGCAGAGAAGAGGGTGTGGGTGGGGAGCAGAGAGGAAGACTAACAATACTAAAGGAAACAACTTCTCACATTTATGCACTGCTGCAAGCATCACAACTCCATTATAGGTTGCCACTATTCTTAGCAGCTCTACTTTAAAGAGTAAAAAACTACAGGGCTCCAGAGAGACCACATAGTTTGCCTTAAATTACTCATGCAGGAAGTGGTGGACTTGAGATATGAATGCAGGTAGTCGGCTCCTGTGTGCGCTCGCTCTCTCTCTCTCTCTCTCTCTCTCGCTCTATCTCTCGCTCTCTCTCTCTCAATTGATTTCAGAGAGGAAGGGAGAGGGAGAGAGGGATAGAAACATGAATGATGAGAGAGAATCACTGATCGGCTGCCTTCTGCACTGTCCCTGCTGGGGGTTGAGGCCACAACCGTGGCATGTTCCCTAACTGGAAATCAAACCATGACCTCCTGGTTCAGGGGTTGACACTCAACCACAAAACCACACTGGCAGGGCTGGTTCCTATGTTCTTAATCATCAAAGTGACAGCCACAGCTATGGGGTCTGCAAAGGCAAGATTTATGACTTAACTGTTGACTAGCCAGAGCCAAGCACACAGCCTGGCACAGGGTAAATGTTTGCTGGAGGAGGCCATGGGTGGATGGATGGATAGGTGGATGGAAGGATGGATAAGTGGATGGAAGGACGGATGGATAAGTGGATGGATAGGTGGATCGAAGGATGGATGGATGGGTGGGGATAGATGTATGGAAGGAGGAAGAATGGATGGATGGAAGGATGGATGGATGGGTGGGTGGATGGATGGATGGAAAGATGGATGGATGGGTGGATGGAAGGATGAAAGGATGGGTGGGTAGGTGGATGGAAGGATGGATGGGTGGGTGGATGGATGGATGGATGGATGGATGGATGGACAGATGGATGGATGGATTGGTGGATGAAAGGATAGATAGGTGGATGGATAGGTGGATGGAAGGTTGGATGGATAGATGGAAGAAAGGATGGGTGGATAGGTGGATGGAAGGATGGATGGTTGGTTGGATGGGTGGGTGGATGGATGGATGGATAGGTGGATGGATGGATGGATGGATGGAAGGATAGATGGATGGATGGATGGATGGAGGGATGGATGGAAGGATAGATGGATGGATGGATGGATGGAGGGATGGATGGAAGGATAGATGGATGGATGGATGGATGGAGGGATGGATGGAAGGATAGATGGATGGATGGATGGATGGAGGGATGGATGGAAGGATAGATGGATGGATGGATGGATGGAGGGATGGATGGAAGGATAGATGGATGGATGGATGGATGGAGGGATGGATGGAAGGATAGATGGATGGATGGATGGATGGACCGATCGGTGGATGCATGGATGAAAGGATGGATGGAAAGATGGATGGATGGATGGATGGATGGATGGATAGGTAGGTGGATGGATGAATGGAAAGATGGAAGTATGGATGGAAAGCCACCTGCAGCCAAGGACATTTATGTCCAGTCCATGAGCTCGTGTCCATGTGCCATCTTCCATCACGTTTATTTAACTGCCCGGGATAGTCATGTCTATTTTCTTCATCCCCATTTTGGAGGCGCTCATGCTCCATTTTTTGAGTGATCCAGTCATCGCTCCTGCGAGTCTCCTTAGGCTTATGTGTTCTTACAGTCGCCTGAGCAAGCCTCACCTGAAGTCAACCTTAATCTACTAGAGCAGCAGTTTCCAACCTTTTTTGTCTCATGGCACATAAACTAATTACTAAAGTTCTGTGGCACCCCCAGAAGATATATGTTTTGCCAACCTGACCAAAAATAGGTATAATTTTGATTCATTCACATCGGCTTGCTATTGTTGTGTTGGCCATTGTCATTTTTTTTTTTTTTTGACAATCTAAGGGAAAAGAGATCAGCGCTCCTGACTAAATAAATAGGTATTGCATGTTTTCAAAATTCTTGCAGCACAAATTGAAAATTGGGGCTAGAGAAAGCAAATCTACAAAAAGCATGTAAACACCTTTTTCCCATGGGAAATGTTCAAATGTTATGGGAGGTGATGTTCAAGTTATGCCTTGAAGTGAAAATTTCCAGAAGGGGAGTGAGTAAGGGCAAAGGCATGGGGATCTGAGAGAGCCAGGGCACCCAGGGACGAGGTGGCAGTTCTGGTGAAGTGGGCAAAGGACACGGGGGAGCTGAAGCTGAGACTGCTGCAGAGGCTTGTGGGAAGCCTGGGTCACCTGCGGACGGTCCCAGCGCCCTGTCTCACCAACAAGCCCTCTTTCTCCAGGAAGGAAGAATCCACCAAGTACCTCAACTTTTCCGCTTCTGATGAGAAGAGAAGGCGAGAAGCTGAGCATCGATATCATGTGAGGGGCCAGGAAACATTCGTGTCTGCCCTCCCACGGTGCTGCTGACATTGCAAGTCGGTGGGAAAAGGTGGAGAGGACCCGAGGGCTAGAGCCAAAAGGAAAGAGATGGCATTTGGGGTGCTCCAGGGGCCACCGTAATGTCTCGATTTTCTGCAGGTGCATAACCTG